GAGCACGATTTTACGGCTAAATCTCATACTGGCACATTCAATTTACTATTGAAGCTAGAATGCGCACCAAGTCCACGGTCTGATGCTGGAAGTCATCATGACTGCTCTGGCAGAGTACTCCGGACAAAGCGTGTCTGCCCATGTCGCCCTGACAACACGAACGAGTTGCGAAAACGAGGTCAAACCACTTCAATATAAGGAAAAGATAATGCGACCGGACTACAGGACACACCGTCTTGGACCCAATACATTCGACTGAAAATAAATACTATTTATACTTCAAGTTATCAATACAATGATTAAACCTTCGAGTGTTCGCTGGAAGAGCTGGTGAAGCGAGGCTTGGTCGAGTCTTTTGGGAGGCATGATGAGGCGGAATTTTAAGATGAATATCACGTCTTCCTTTGTATTTCTCGTTAGCAAAGTTGGTGTTCTAGGCACCGCTGGAGTTACATCAGGTGGGCTCATTTACGAATGAAACTGTGTGCTGAAGCGGATCGAAAATGGCGGCCGTCTGCAGTACTCGGGATCGTGGTAGTTGCGGAAAGTCCATCGTTGGAAAGTGCTGAAGATTGCCGCGAGGGCGGTCGCGAATTAGCCGTCGGTGGAGCCTCACTACTGACGCTGCAAAAGTAGCATGATGAATGAGGCAAATTGGGCTCTGTGGCGAGGATGTCAAAGCGGCTATGACCAAATCCCGTGGTCTAGACTCCACTGCTCGGACGGCAGGGCGAGAAGAGGGCAAAGACGTGCGTGCAAGTCGCGAAAGCGGAGGCCCGACCAGAGAGAAAGAGGCCGGTCAGCCGAGGCCGGTGGCGCGCTTGCGCGGCCTGGGCAGAGCAGGGCGGACGGAGGGACCAACGCGTCTGCAGCCAAGCCTGCAGATAGGTGGTGCTTTTGCACTACGAATCAGTCTAGCCTATCGCTGATTGGTGGAGGCCTGGCCAATCTGTAGCCGGTGGCACAAGACTAAACGAGCCAGCGAGAGCGCGCCAGACAGACACATGGACTGTCGATCAGCCAGTCAGTGAGATCGTCGAGCCGTGCTGTAGGCCAGGCGCCTTGCCGCCAGACCGGCTCGGCCCACCGCTTCAGCAGGCCCACACCGAAAGGCACTCAGTCCCCTTCCGCCCTGGTCGCATCAATTCACGCACACACACACACACACACATACACTACTCTCACTATCGCACCAACACACGCACGCACACACGCATGCATGCAAACATATGCAGCGAACGCTCACAGACGGGCGTTGTCAGGACCCGAAGATGATAACTTGTCTGCGCCCAGCTCGTCTAGTGCCGAAAGGACGCCACTTGGCCGCCTTCGAACAACTTCCTTGACGTCGCGGCGATCGGGGTCCCGTGGGTCGATATCCCAAGGTCAATACGGCTGGCTGCCGCGTCCTAGTCTTAGCTCTCGGTGAACACGTCTCAGCGTGAAAAGTCAACGACCCACCGGTTGGATCAACAGTGCTGAGGGTGGGTGCTGCGCGGCTTTCCTCTGCGAACTGGAAACACGTCAGTGTGTCAATGCGGCTGTGTATGTGTGCGTGCGCGTGAACGTGTGTGCCCATGTAAGTGCGAGTGTTGTGACGGGCGACCAATCGTCTGCCTGGCGCGGGCCCCACTCGTCACAGGCTTGGAGGCCGGCGCGGACGCAAGCAACCCGGCACGAGGCCCTGTCTGGATGAGCCCCAAATGTCCAGGCCGACTGACTCAGCTGGATCGCGAGAGGATAGGCCGCCGGCCGGGCGGCGGCGGGCCGCTGGCGGCCTTCTGGCCGCCACTGATGGCGGCGGCGGAGGCGGATCGAACAGCCCAGGCCGGGCCGTGGCGTGGCTTCCCGGCGTCGGAGGGCCGGGCAGCGGGGCCAGAGTGGGCGCTGCGTCCGGCGCCGGGACGCATATCGACCCGGTCCGGAGCGGCAATTCTCAGGTGAAAGTGATCAACGCCTTCCTGCAGGTGGGCGATCACGCCGGCCTGGACCGCTACCTCAGCAAGCAACAGGTGCCCACACTGACGCTCAACATGGCCTTGCAGCGCGCCTGCATCGCCAGCGACGAGGAGGCTGTGCGTGTGCTGGCGCGGCGAGGCGCCGACGTCAACTACACAGACCAGTTCGGCACCACCATCCTTCACTTTGCCATGCGCGGCGGCGGCGACTCTGACATGATACAGGAGCTGCTGCGTCTCGGCCTTGACCACCAGTCCTGGAGGCAGGAGGGACAAATGCTGGTGCACTGGGCCTGCCGTAAAGGCCATCTACAGGTCGTCCGGTAGGTCGGTCAGTCTGGCTTAAGGCTCTCATTTTCGCGATCCCTTCTTCCCCAATCCACTTCACTATGCTACACTACACTCCAGCTCTTTCATTCAAGCAAAATCCATCCCAGGCCAATCAGGAATGCAAGCCAACTTTGTGCTTGAGACTCAGTCTACGTTGAGCCGGGCTCGAAGTGATGGAGGTCTCTGAATGGATGTGGAATTTAATTGTTCACATGAATAGTCTTGATGTTGCTCCTTCGGGGGAGGCTATTGGATGGACCTGTTGTAGGCCGCCACCTAATTGATACTGCCTAACCTTAGGAGAGAAATCCCGTTCATGTCATATTCGAAAAGTTAAGCAAAAAGTATTCAATGTGAAGAAAAGTTGGGTTTCGAGGACTCTCTGGTTTCATAATTGTTGAGCTTACTTCCATTTCGAGTGAAAGTGGTGAGTGAAAGATTCGAAAGTCGATCCCACCAGAAGACGACGGTGGATTCCTCTTGACCAACCGTCGATTGACACTGTTTCCGAGGCAATTTCCTTCGATTCCGGTGATAACGGGCTGAGCTTTCGTCCGTTGTTTGACGACCATCACCAGAGAGGGAGGTTTTGCTAGTATGAATGATACCTTGCTCTGATGATGTTCGTCACACGACGGATGAAAGCCTAGCACGTTTACACCAGAATCGAAGAAGAGAGCCTCGGAAACAGTGTCAACAAGAATGTTCCAGTGGAGCCAATCGACGGCTGGTCAAGGGGAATCCGTCGTTGTCTTCTGGTGGGATCGACCTTCGAAGAAACATAGGAATACTTGTTGAAATGAGCATCTTTCGGGACTCCCTTGTTTTCGAATAGGGACCATTCGCTTAGGGATGGGTGGACGGCTGAATTTTGCCACAATGGTGCCACCGGATTTCAGTCCATTTTCTGAGAGAAAAGCTTATGACAAGACTAAGTGAAACTGAATTTATGTCAGGAAGCCTTTTTTTATTGTGGGAAAGTCTCCACAATCAGTCTTACAATCACTCGAAATTACTCCATTTGTGGTTGTAGCCTTATGCGAAATAGTCCTGAGCACACTCCCTTGCGAACCCGATCCATTCGCGCCCAGCCTCCGTCGAGACGATAGACCGAGGGCTCCTACGCATAATCAGATAGTCACAACTGCAGGCCTTCTGTTTGGTTATGGTCTCTAGTTGTATACTGTTGGTTTGACCTCCTTTTCGCAACTTGGTCGGAACTTCAGAGAGACTTTGTGGAATGTACCTAGTCCTGCGTCCTCTGCCATACTAGTCTTGATTTCCGATATCGGACTATTGTCCGATACACTCCCAAACATTTCGCTGACGTCATCAGTGAGACGTACCATCGTCAGCACAGATTTACAACTTCCTCGCTCACGATGATGGCAAAACGTCTGGGAATGTGAATGGCCAAATGCTGGGAATCACGAATATTGTGGCAGAAGACGCATGACTAGGTACGTTTCAAGAGGTCTACCTGTACCTCGGCCCAAGTTGCGAAACTGAGGTCAAACCAACGCAAAACGAATGCTACTTTAACATGCACCATTTAAGAGATGAGTGGTAAATCGTGCGGCCAGATCTACAAATTCATTCAGGGGTGTTAATGAGACCCGGACGAGGTTGGAACTGCAGTCCAGCTTGGATATCAGAATCTTTTGAGAGGCAAGGCTAAGTTAAATTAGGTGTGTAAAAAACTGGGTTTCGAAGAAGATGTTGGAGTACCTTTCATTTCGTTTGAAGTGAAATCAAATGACATCGGGAGGCCTACTCGTAATATTGTAAGGAAATCCCACTATTATTCCTTAAGTCACCCTAGATGTTACCGTTCAAACCTTGCCAATTTCCAAACTCTTTTGTAGTTAAGCTCTCCCAGCAAAAGGGTAAACTTGAAGATATGAAGTATTTGGTGGTGTGACCTTTATCTTGATTTCACTTTCCCTTCACTGCATATATTTAGTCTAACCTCGTAGGTCATGCCATTTACCGCGTCCTCTGCCATGTCATGTATCAATCAGCATCGGACCGTCGACCGGGCATATTCCCTCATCCATAGTGATCGTCACCTCCCTTGGCTCCGAGCCACAACGCTTCAAGGGCATGTAGAGTTCATCCCTTGATCAACTTTATGCTGTTTTCGGCAGAATGTTGGTGGAAGGATTGACTTTACTTGTCTCTAACGTGTTCGTAGCTTGGTGCGGAGAATGGCAGCACTCAATGATGATGCCGACCACGATGCCGGCGAAACGTTTGAGAATGTACCAAGTCCATTGTCTGATACTGGGAATTACGATAACGACTATGGCAGAAGACTTCGGTGCGTTCTACCACGTCTGCCGAACAACAAGACCAAGTTGCGAGAACGAGGCCAACTCCTTTGTATAAATCGAAAGGCGACTGCGACCATACCGAAGGTCATGCCATCTTGGTCTTCATATCTTTATGCTGGTTATTTGTGATATCTCCCCTCCTACAGCGCTAGAACATTTGTCTATCCCATTGGTTATGCTTCACTATGTCCACAAGAAAGTCCCATTTCTAGGGTCTATTACAATAAACAAAGTTGATACTTGGAAAGAGTGCAAGAGTGAGAAACGAAGATACAGCCTCATATGATAGGTGTGTGTACTAAGAGAAAATTAGAAGAATCTTCACAACTGTTCAGCAGAAAGCTGATCAATAGATGGACCCCATTTATCTGTCTGCTGAGGCTGACGAAGCTCACTGGTGAGGCCGCTCACGAGGCCAGCGAAAGGTCTGGGAATATACCATAGAAGAAACCATGGCAACTATAGCAGTTTGTGTATTCCGGAGTCCCTGACACAAAGACCAGGTTGCGAAAACGAGGTCAGGCTGATTCTATTCGGCGAATTGAGACAGTGGCTAAGGTACTGGCCACAATATTTTGGTATTCATACTTAGGCTTTGCATTTTTTTGTTTAAGGCTCTGGCCTGCTCTTATCACAAACTATTTCCTCCAGATCTGGAAGTTGGAAGTGCTCCTTGCGAATTAATTCGTCTGAAGCGGCGACCAGTTTCATCGGGCATTAAATTAGCCTCCTGTAATTCCTCCGTAAGGCCTTCTTCGTAGATTTGCAATTGCCATTCTGGAGGTCACACGTAGTTTCGTAGAATGTGATTATTAAGAAGCTATTTTAAACTGGCTCTGCACACTCGGGCCTCGGGCGGAAAAGATCTTGAATCTCTTCTCACCAATCACAACTTTAATCAAAAGTGCCAGTAACTGAAATGACATAAAACGTATATTCATGGTTATTTTCCACTTGGGCTAAGGCACTTGCCTCGGACCTTCAGAGTTGGTTTGCGATTCTATGATTTCCTAGGAAATCATAGTAAGCCTCAGGCTAAGATGATAAGGTGGCACCTAGTCGGGATAGAAATCAGTTCTTCCCCGCAAGTTTTCGTAAGAGGTTAGCCCTTAAAGTCCTGTCAAATATTAACCGAAAATGCATGCCACCCAAGTGCCTGTTTGATAGTGCACTTTTTCAGCCTCATTCCAAAAAATTATGGCAGCTTCATATTTTATTTTATTGGGTGATGAACAAGTGAGAATGTGGTTTTTGCTTAGAAGAGATTTTTTCTTCTAAACATTTTCGCTACTTTGGAAGGGAAGAAAGCACACACACGAGCTTATATACAAATAGACGGACATGAAAATTAACTAACCGAATCATTCAATAGCTCTCAAAGTTCCATTTTTTCTGAAGAATATATGAGGACTGGGGCGGAAGGGTTTATGACTCGGTATAGCATAACTGTCTCCGGGACTGCGTCATCCTGAAAGTCTGGGTAAGATCAAACTATAACAGATCAAGGCGACCCGGCAGTCGTCACCTGTTGGGATCGGCCTATGATTCTCTTCCTCAAACTTCCCTATTAATTTAAGGTTGGCCTAACGCTCAACTATCGGGAAATTCATCTGGTGCCAGATAGATACTATTGTCTTAATTGAGACTCGTACTCTCGTTTGTCTTATCGGCATTTGTTTGAAGGATTTCCCTAGAATTTTCGGGACTGGCCTTGACTGCCTCTGGTTGGTACCATTTATCTATCACTTAATCTCCGCTAAATATCAGAACACCGCATCTAGTTACTCCGCTGAATGTGAAACTGCTAATTCGTCTTAAGCGCCTTCCATCTTGCATAAAATTTAGTCTTGGTGTGATTTTATGAGCTATAAAAGTTCAGGCTCCAATAGATGGTCTCTCCATTAAACAACCTTTGAGTCCGATGTGGCTCGTGCCTTGCTCACCCAATATACTATTCATTTTTGTAGCTTTTTTGATGGCAATCCTTTCCAACCCTTGAAAAGCTCTATTACCTATCGCGGTTTTTTCTGATGTTTTCCGATATTTGGGCTTGCAACTAGTTACCAATTGTCGGAAGCTGACATTTTTTCCCCGTCTATTTGCAACGACAATCAACATTCCTCTTAAGTACTTAACAAATCAGTACCTGCAGCCCTGTTAACAAGTGGTTACACTTTATCGTATTCAAGCATTCTACCACTCACTTTTCTCTTCAGTTTTGTACCGAAGTGGTAAATATACTTTCTCTCTAGCACAAGAGCCTGTCATTGTAGCCCTGATTATATCGAATAAAGCCCAAATTCCTTGTTAGACGATCATTACGGTATGGCTGGTGGCATAACCTTCAAATACTCCTTGTTGAATCTCTCTAGGTGTGGCAAAATCTAATCCTAAGGCGGATCCGAACCTTTATAGCGTTATTTCTGTGACCTGATGCTCACTTCGCCCTGTATTTTAGCGAACCTTTCTTTTTGATGCCATGGGTGATTCGTCTCCGCTTGCGAGCATCTGCTTTATCTGCTATTTTACGAGGCCTTTGTCTTGGTTGTTCTGGTCGCTCCACTCCAAAGTTATTGCCTTCCCCTAGTCTCTATACTTTTAAGCACGTCTCAGCTGATGTCCGAGTTATTCGGGAAAGCGATGGTTAGTCCCAAAAGTACATTC